CTCTCTCTTTCCCTCCACCCCTGATACAGTACCTCCAGATTTGCCCGAGCTGCAAGATGTGGATGAGTGACTGCAGGAGCCAGATGCAGAATGAACAGGACGCAGACCTGTTCTTGCCGCTGGCCCGGGTGGCACTGTTGCTGTTGCTGCTGTTGGTGGTGGTATAGCTCTTGCTGGCATTTGAAGCTTGCCTTTGCGGTGTTGAAGGACGAGCATCTCCTTCTCCAATTGCAGACCCCCCGCTGACCACCGTCTTGAAGTCAGCTGCAGGCTGCGCGCAGCTAGAGGAACCAGTGGCTGCAGCCGCTGCTGAGGTGCTCGTGGAGCTGTCCTCGGTACTGAAATCGTGCACGAACCAGCGGAAGCTGAACACCTGCACAGAGAGGGAACCCAGCACCACGAAGAAGAGAGTGAGTCCAAACCACCACCTCTGGCCCCTCAGGTAGTAGTCCACTGCCAGCCAGATGTCTGTACCCACATCCGCGAAGTACACAGCCACAGCGGCTAGGATCCAGAGGCAGTCCCACAGCGAGTAGCGTTGCTGCTCCCTGCCTAGACGCAGGCACAACGAGGAGGAGCCCCCCCCACCACCGCCGCCGCCTCCGCCAGAGACCCCCGAGCCGCCGCCCGAACTACCGCTGCCGCCGCCGCAGCAGCAACACCGGGAGCAGCCACCACCACCACCGTCCGTACAGCAGCCACCACCGGCTGCCTCCTCGTCCTCAGCTCCAGACCCCGACGGCAAACCCGGAGCCAATCCCTGAACCGAGCCCGAGTGGTCCGAATTCTGCAGCGGGGTGAACGCCACGTCGCTGCTCTTCTTCATTTTCAGCCTCCCGTCTGACTTAGCGGCCATGATGCCTTAAAACCAGAGAAAAACCCTCCTTTATCTGACACCTTTCCCCCCTGCTGTCTCCTCCTACAGCCACCTCCTTTTTCTCTCTTCTCTTTCCCCTCCTTCCTTCCCCTCCCTTTCCTTCTTTACTCCCTCCCTCCGCCTTTTCCTCTGCTGCTGCTGCTACTGCTACTCCACTCCCTGATTTCCTAGCTGACTGGATGGCTGGGTAGGTAGGATCTGGGCTGGGGCTAGCAGCTCCCCTTCCTCCAGCTGGAGCGCCGCCTGGCTGCCTACAGAAAGCCAACCTTCTTATCCCTCCCTTTCCAGTCCCCTTCTTTTTCTTCTTCTTCTCCCTCTTTTCCCGGTTGCTGCTGCTGTCCGAGCCGCCGCCGCCGCCAGCAGCAGCAGCAGCCGCGGCGGCGGTCCTCGGACCTGTACATTCCTCCCCTCTCCCTCCCTCCCTCTTTCTCTCCTCCACCAGCTGACTCCGAGTGAGAGGATGACCTCATCCCTTCTCTCCCAGCTGCTGCCGCTCCCAGCCCTGTACGAAAGGGGGAGGGGAAAGGAGGGCCCCCTGAGGAGAAGGAGGAGGAAAAAGGGTGGAGAAGTGGGACCTTCCTTATCCCAGAGAGGCTAAGGTGTGTAGGGCCAACACTATCTGTTCCCTCTTCTTTGTAGAAGATTTTGGAAGAGGTTGGTAGATTTGCTAGAAACAGGGGAAGGGGAGAAGAAAGAGGTGAAGGGAGGGGTCCCCTGCATCAAACCCGAGAGAGGAAAAGAGGATTGTGAAAGAGCAGCTTGTGCATTTGTGGGCGAGGGAGGAAAGTCCTGTCTCTTTTGTATTCATCACTAGGCTCTTGGTATCTGGCAAAGGGGTTGCAGGTAGCGTTTTGAACCATACAAGGGATGAGAGAGAGATTGTGACCTGGTGGAGTACAGTAAAGGATCTCTAGTCGCGAGCAGGTCACTGTGGATTTCTGTACTGTGTATTAGCGTGAGTGCGCTTGTATGTATGTATATGTATGCATGTGTGTGTGTATTCAGTCCCTGGGGTGAGCAGGTGGATAAGAACCTTTTCTGTTGCCGGGAATCGCTGCTCTTGCATAAGGCAAAACCCGAGAGGCTGCACAGGACCAGAAGTGGGAAAGAGGAAGAGCAGGGCAGGACAGAATCCCCGGGAAGGGGATCTTGGGGTTGGAACTCGACCTATTCTTTTTTTAGGGTAGGAGAACTGCTTGTTCTCAGAGGTTTTTCAAGAACAGAGAAGAACTGGGGTCAGGGGTGAAGTGCGGGCTTCGGTGTCTGACTGTTTCGTAGGGAAGAGGGGTTGGGGGTCCGAGAGCAAAGAGCTTCAAAGAGGGAGAAGCATGATCGATCTTGGTACACTACCCCTTATCTTCTAGGCTGAAGCCACTTGACTGAAGCACTGTGCACCAGTGGCTATTTCATGCCTCCGACCATTGCTGCCCTGCCCAGTAACTGCTCTGGGTGGCTGGCAGGAGCGACAGGGTTTTCCACTTTATCTCAGCAGGTGGTGAAGCCCAGCAGGTCTGTCAGCTAGTAGAAGATCTGAGTGCTAGGACCCGGGCAGGACTCTGAGACTGCAGGAAGGCTTCCCTTATACCAGAACAAGTGGCTAAATTGAAAGAGCTTCAACCACCTTCTCCACCCATTAATTTTTTTTCTGTTAAAGAGACAGAAGCTGTGGAATAAGTAAATGTTCCTATCACTTCAAAAAGGACTCAGTCCTGGATCAGCTTAACTCACTATCACAGGCAAAAAATAATAATGATGATAATAACTCTAGAGTTTGAAAATATTCTAAAAGGTCCAGTAAAGAAATATGATCTACCTTCACCTTTCCCAAAAGTAAACTTAGTTATTGATTTGTATCATTTAACTTCTGCAAATTTAAAAGCCAGGGAGTGTAATTCTTATTGTCACGCAGTGACTCAGATTGTAAAGAGCAGAAATGGAAGTGAGGTGACACGATTTTCAAGTGAGAGCATCAGTTACATTAATTTACATCTAGAAGAAAAAAGCATGGCATTTCCCCTGTAACTAGTTTTCCACCAACTTTTACACTAGTCATCAAACCAGTCCCAAACATACGGAAATGGAAATGGCAGAGTTAATTTGTTACTTGAATAGGAGGATCATTTGGGTCCTTAGTAATGACCATTTTTCTCTACTTATAGAAAGAGCCACCTAAACCACATTATGCCAAAGATGTATCAGCTTGCTCGGATAGTTGGAATGGAATCAGTTCCACTCCTTGAACACAGACTGTCATTCACTCTCAGGCTGACATGCTCACGACCTTGCTTTTTAACCTTCCTCTGATTTTTGCCTATTCTTCTTTTTAATAGAACTGCTTGCAGAAAGATTTGAGACTATATTCCACACAGACACAAAATCAAACTAAATGAATATGCCCAATATAATACTAGCAAAAGAACCTAATGATGAGTATGGTGAGCAAAGAACAACTCTGAAGGAAGCTAAATATTGTTACCCACATACACTCTCACGTATATGCACATGAATACATACACACACATACACACACATACACACACAAAAGCCATCTAACTTCACCCTTAATATTGAACCCTAATAGTATAGCAAACTCATTTGATGGAAAACACCGAAGGAAAAAAAAATTTCCCCTTCTTTCCCTCCCCTCCCCCATCAAGTTCAAGTCTAAAGAGTCTTGCTCAGATTGTTCCTTCTGGGCTTAACTACTGCAAAGGCACTTAGGGAAAGAAATTATCTCTTAGGTTACTGATTCCCAAGTGACAGTATATTCTGAGACAAAGCAAATGACCTGTATTGTGCTAGGTGCAAATAGGAATCCACAATAGGTTACTGAGAAGGGCCAGGGCTCTTTTGGAAGAACATTTTATTCTAAATGAGGTTCTCAAATACCTATGCCATACACATGTAAGAACTGCACTTCTTTGTCAGAACCATAATTCATGTAGCCCCATTTTCTCTTGCCAACAGTGGCCCCAAGGGACACCCCATGGGATGGCATGTTTTTTATCCCTGATTTCACTGCTAAAGGTAAGGTGTATTTCAGCTTCTCTTAGCATCAGTTGATAGATATTATTCATAAACTTGTTTGAATTTTTTAAAATCTATTTTTTTCTATCTGTACAAGATTTGGAGGGCAATTATTTCCACAAATGGATTGATCAGTACAGAATTGTATTTTTCCACCCTTGTCATGGAACACAGTGCAGAGGTTCCTATTACTGTAGGAATTAGCTCATAGGTATAAGGGTAAAAGGATATAATGAGAAGAAATCTTAGTCTTATGACTTCAGAACAGAAGGGTATGAGGTCCAGAGAAAATGACTTGGGAGTAGTGCACAACAAATAATAAGCTTGGGAAACAGATTTTAGAGGAAATGAAGGACACCATAAGACCATGGAGTAGTGACAACATAAACCTGTCTCAGTCTAGAAGTTGGAGTAACTTAATTTAATATTTATCCAAGGGTGTGCTGAAACCAGTTTATATTGAGCCAATTGCTAAATCTTCAATGTGAGCATTTACTCCTTAGTAATTGGCAAATACTATAAATCAGGACTTTACTTATTCTTTTTTATTGTCTAGACTTAAAAAATGGTGGAGAAAATGTTGATAATGTGGATCAAACTTAAAAGTGTATTAAGCGTGCCCTACCTCCCCCCACCAAAGCCTGGTTCTTAAACATTTTTACCAGCACACCTCTGCCTCCAACACAGGTGGAAGAAAGGAATATGGATGAGTGTCCCACAAACTCTGTTGGTTAAAATAATCTGTTATTGAGTTTAGTATAAAGTAATCTGTCCTCTACAAATCTGTACATTCTGTACTTTTCTATTTTGTTTTCTTTCCCCTTTGTTGCCTAGTCAAAGCTCTTTTTGAAAAAAAAATGCTTCATTTTCCTAAATAATAGGTATGTCATTCACAAATATTACTACTGAACCACAATAAAAAAAAGGAAGGGAGTATACTCCAGCTTCCCATTGTCATTTCTATCGAGCAAACCAAAAAACCTGACATTTTTTACCAAAGAAGATAAAAACTCCATGAACTAATGCCTAACTTGTGCTTACTCAGCACTCTCTCCCCTACCTCCTAGCAGCAAAACTACATAAGTGGACCTAACCTAGGGGCTTACAGTAGAATGAAACCTCACATCTTAATCCCACCTCCCTCCAGTGCTTTGGAGATACAAACTCCATGCTGCAGAAATTTGCTGAGGCTGTGATAGCCAGCACCAGAGAAGCATTCTGTATTGCAATAGAGCTCTGCAGGTGAGCAGTGGAACAGAGGGAATGGGGCAGGACATATGTCTGGGCTTGTAATAGAACTCAACTATATGCCACTGAAATCCAAACTCCAAACTACAGAAATTTACTCAGGCTTCAATAGCAGCAGTATGGCAGCATTCTCTACTGCTATGCTACAGAACTGAGAAACAGAGAGAATGAGTTAGGATGTCATGTGCGGGGAGATATAAGGCAACCCAGTAAGCCTGAGGGAAAGAACCCAGCATCCAGCTGGGGGTAGTTCTATTCCCTCACCCCAAAAGTCACTTGGGGCTGGTAATCATAAATTGCCTTTTGTGGGAGATGGTTGAGATTCTTTGAGATCCCACTCCAGAGAAACAACAAAGACAAGAGAGGAAGTCAGAAAGTAAGCAAGAGGGGAAAACAAGACAGAAATTACCAAAGATCTTAGGAGGAAGAAAACTCAAAAGACCTTGAAGATAAACAGATAAACCAACAGGGAAGAAGCTAATAACAGAAGGAAATATGGTCTCCAGATCTGGTAAACTAGTTCAGGCATCTATGGATAAATGTTGCAAACAAAAGAACATAATTCAGCACCAGATAAAGTTCTTGTGGATTTTGAGGAGATCATGAAATCAAAAGGCACTGTAACTGAATGATTTAAAAAAAGAGAGCAGAAATTATGGTTTGAACCACAAAAATATTTGCCAAAATAGAAAAAAAAATCTATGGTGTCAAATCCCAATAAAGAAACAAAAAAGAACACAAATAATTGAGAAAGCAAATGCAAAGAAATGAAGGCCAATCTAGAAGAGGAGAAGCAAAAAAAAAAATAACATTTTTAAAAATACACACTCCTTTCAAGAAAAACATATTGATCTCAAGTACAGAATGTGTAGAGGTATCTTAAGAAGTATAGGTCTTGGGGGCAGCTAGGTGGCACAGTGTATAGAGCACCAGCCCTGAGGTCAGGCCTCAGATCAAACACTTGACACTTACTAGCTGTGTGATCCTGGGCAAATCGCTTAACCCCACTTGCCTAAAAAACAAAACAAAACAAAAAAAGAAGTATAGGTCTCCCAAAAGAACATGACAAGTCTAAAAATCCTGAAACAAGAATGAAAGAAATAATATAAGGAAACTGCTCAGAATTTCTGAACACAGAAAACAGTGTCAATAAAGTAATCCTTTGATTTGCCTCCCATCTCCATCCTCACCAAAA